GGGGTGGGGTGGGGGGGAAGGCACCCTCCCCTCGGCAACCCCGAAGGTGGTCGCCCCTTTCCCTCCCTCCCGGCTCCTCTTCTCTCGCATCCTCCGGAGCATCGGCTGCCCCTGCCATCGGGTACCGTTCTCCTCAGCCTTCCAACTTCCCGAGGTGAGCGGAGCATCCCGGCCCTCCTAGGTACTTAATTAGGGTCTAACTGCTTTTAAGGAATTGATGAACTGGCTCTGGAACACCGCAAATCGTTATTCTCTATTTGATATAGAATCCTAGACTCATAGCGTTGCCGAGGTTGGAAGGGACCTTTCGGCTCATCTAGTCCTACCAAAATATAAGGATATCCATGTTCCTTAGCAGGAATTTCCTGCTGGTTGAGTAAGTTAGAAGCTGCTGTTGTTGTCACGTTTTAAATGGCTTTAATTTCTATCTCTAACTGATCTTTACATTTGCGAATCTTTCCACGAAAAGGTTTCTTTCTGCGGGAATTCAGTCTGCTACAAATGTCTTTAATGTCTTTATTCCGTGCTCAGACAGGTACCAGTGGGAAGAAATGTCAACAAAAACTTACAGGGAGACACGATTTTTAAGTAGTTTTATATTTTTAGTATGGCTGGTTTTAAATAAAAAGCCACTGAACTCGTGCGTGAAATTCAGAATGTAATAATAAATTATTGCTCAGGAGCTATCCCTTAGTTTTGGCTTTTAAAAATGCAAAATGTAGTGCTTGACAGCTCTTGTTTCCATTTACTAAATATCATTGGTACTAGAGAGAGGTCCTATTCATTTAGGCAATAGGAAGGCTGGGAGATTAACATTTATTTCTTTTAATGTGTAAAACCACACCGAAGCATGAGCTGCTCTTTGAGGAAGCAAATTTATTCGGTATTTAAGCATCTTCCAGTATTTCTAAGCAAAGTCGAGCTGCCTTATGGAGCTCTATCGAGATGTCATCTTGTAGGAAAAAAATAGCTTTATATCCATAGAAATATTAATGTAAGGTCAAAATATTATTTTAGCTTCTATGATCTGAACCTAATATAACCAGATGAGAAGGTACAAAAATAAATTCTCTGCAAAGAATTATAGATATTGTGTGGAAGATTTTGCAGAAGCAATTACTTGGCTAATTCCTAGCGTGTTATCTGTGGGCATTTCTGTGTCTGGAGTGCCAGGAATCGGGGGATTTTCCTGCAGCTCAGCCATGTGCTACTTACAAATGTTACTGATAAACGCCAGGTCAAAGATCAAAACACTTTGGTGGGAAACGAGTTATTTTAGGTCAATTATTTTAATTTGCAAAATTCACTTCCCATTAAAAGGTTTCGCTGTTTCATTGTTGTGAAAAATAAATTGTTAATGTTGTTAATGATGCTGTTCCCCACAATTTCATAGTGTCTTTAGCTCAATTCCTTGCTGTTACTGGAGCTGACATTATGTAGGAAGTTTATTATTAATGTAAATAAGATTATTATAAGTTAAATTTACTTAGAGCTGTTGAAGAAATCTCCGGTATTAACCATGTGAAAGTGACTGCTCTCTTAGTTTTCAAATATTTCTCTTTAAATACAGATAACAAACCTGCAAAATTTAAAAGATTATTTAGGTGTGTGTATAACTTTATGTATAGTTGGGAAAGCAGAGTGCATGTGTGTGTATATATCTGTGTGTACATATATGTATGTACATATATGTATGTATATATGCTTACACACCAATATGTTGGTTTTCTGTCAGAAAGAAACATTTGGACAGACAGAATGTTTTTTTAAATCAAGAACTACTAAAAATAAATAGCAGGACTGTTAAAAAAGGACATACCTTATATATCTGGAACATCAATCAGTGTAATTTATTTAATTTGTGAAAAGGAGACAGGAATGTGAACTATATGAAGAGAGAGGAAAGATGATTTGTGACTGTTTTCACAAGTTACAGATTTTGGCTGGGTCTGGTTGTGTTTGGTTGTGTTTGGGTTGTGTTTGGTTGGGTTTGGTTGTATTTGGGTTGGGTTTGGGTTGGGTTTGGGTTGCGTTGGTTGGATGTTCCTCCGTTTTCTGTGGCTGCAGGCAGGGAGGGGTGGTTTTGTCTGGGCGGATCCCTGGGGGAAGGAACAAATGCACAAATCTGGGTGAGAACCAATGCCTTAGCACAAACTGCCGCCGTCGGGGCTCCTATTTAGGGGAATAAAACAAGGATTTTGCTGAAAGTGGCTCCACACCTCTGTGCGGCGAGTAACTTCCCTATGCTGTGTTGAATAGTTCCTTCTCTGGCCCCCCTCCCATGGAATAACTTTGCTGCTTTAAAATGCACGTTTGTTGTATGTTTTTCCGTGTGTGAGAAAAGTAGAGGCATCAAGATTCAAAATTTGGGGGCATTTTGTCTCTTGCTGAATGGTGAGCAGCACCAGAGCAGCGGGAGCAGGAACCACACCAGGTCTCCAAGGTGACCACTAGCACCATTCAGGTCTGGAAGATGAAATACTGTGAGTTCTGAACCAAAATACATCTGTAGAGTGTAGGGCATGCACTGTGCAGCTGCAGTGATACCACAAACTGGTGGATAAAACTTCCTAAGGCTCAATTTAAAGTTCAGGAAGCAGGCGTTCTGTATTGCAGCACCGGCTGGACAGGGGATCAATCCTCCTGTTGTGCACCCCAAATGCTGTTGTCAAATTAAATTTATACACAACAGGTTTACATATTCAATGTAATTCCAAGAAAACATTAGCATATTCATTACATTTCTGAGAATTCATTTACATATTATAATAAGCTGTTGGGCACACTTAGTTGTGCCTTCTAGTGGTCCTCATGTTGAGTGAGGGTCATTTCTTCCTCAATCTTCATCTTCTTCACCTCTCCTTTGGCTCACTTTTCATGTTGGCAAAGCATCCTGACTGCTTAATTGCTCATTAAAGCTAATGAACTCCCTGCTACCACCTGTCTGTCAGACAATGTCCATATTCATTGCATCCCTGTCCTAGGTCATCATGTTCTCAGGGCCACAGACATCCTTTCTTATCTTATTAAGTCCTTGAAACCATTTGGGATGGTTGCTTAAATAGCTACATTTCTTCTCTCAAAGAAGATTCTCTATAGTTAAACCATTTATAAACTACATAAAATCTGCCTTAGGTATCATTAATTCATAATATTTGTAGTCTGAAAATCCTCAAACCCAGCTGGAGAGTTAAAACATGCTCCCTGTACCCTACAGGAGCCCTGTGTTTCAGGTCTTAGTCCTTGAAACCACAAGAGTGAAGTGATGGATGAAGGTCATGCTTCCATCAGACAGAACAGTCGCCCAGTGAGGAGTCAGGCCTTCAGTGCAGTGCCCTGCACACAAAAGTTAAGTCTTTGAAAGCCAGCAGGCTGCAGAGCTGTCATCAGCTCCTCTTCACCCCCAGGTGGACTAATGAATGACTCGTTCAAGCCAGTACCATCCACCAGGGTCCACCAGCTCAGACGTGGTGCCAGACAAGCGCTCATTCTGCCTCTGGGGCCAACCCAGTTGGAAAGGAGCCTTGACATTGTGTGCATCGTGGAGCCAAACTCTGAGCCCCACTCTGTCTGAACCACTGGGAGAGCAGAAAATAAAGGCATTTCATCCTTTCTAATTAGGTCAGGATGGTGTTCCTATTGGTCATTGTTTGGCTTGAAACACCGAGAGCCCTCCCGGTGCCTGCACTGCATTTCTTATAGTCAGGCACCAAGAGGTGTGGGACAGAGACCTCAGTGACTCTGTCGCTCATGTTCTACCAGGTTTAAACCCTCCAGTTCACTACAAGGGCTCCTAAGTCAAAGAAGGCTTCACCTGGAGCTACTGTGGCATCACACATCCCAGCAAATCAGTATTAACCAGGACTTCCTGCTGGGTGGGATAGTCCAGTCCTCTCCTGCCTACCCCCTTCCCTGCCGTGGAAGTTGGTGGCAGTAGAAATAGGGGCTTAATGGGGACATTTCCTAAGAGCACAGGGACATTTGGTGTTGAGCTGCCATCTGGAAGTCAGTGGGGCTCTACGGTACGTGGCTCGACTGGGACTTGTTCAAATCTCAGTTATTTTCTCATCAGCTAGATCTATCTCAGGTGGGTGTCAGGAGGATGGGGCCAGTCTTCTTTCAGTGGTGCCCAGGGACAGGACAAGAGGGAATGGGCACAAACTCGAACATAAGAAGTTCAACTAAACAGGAGGAGGAACTTCTTTCCTGTGAGGGTGGCAGAGCCCTGGAAGAGGCTGCCCAGAGAGGTGGTGGAGTCTCCTTCTCTGGAGACATTCAAACCCTGCCTGGGTTCATTCTTGTCCAACCTGCTCTGGGTGACCCTGCTCTGGCAGGGGGTTGGAGGAGATGATCTCCAGAGGTCCCTTCCAACCCCATATCATTCTGGGTTTCTGTGATTTTGTTCCTGGGATTGAGGTAAAGAGTGGAAATTCAGTCCTTGTGGTGGTCTTGGAGAAGGGATTCAATCCACGTCTGCTTTGGAGAGGCAGCTCTGCATGGCTGTGGGGCAGCCACCACACATCAGGAGAGAGCCCACTTCAGCCTTCCCGAATCTCAGAGGAAATAAGAAGAAATTTGGAAGCTTTTCTTTTAACCTGCACTTCCAAATGGCTCCTGTATTTCACAAGACTTGCTCAAGGCGAATGTGGAGCTGGAGGTATTTACTCGTTTCCAAGCAGGGATTTTAGCTCTGTCTTCTTCATTATTCCCCCTGAAGTTTGAGAGATTGTTCATAATAAAAAGATTTGGCAGCTTCATGATTCACTGGGCTGGGTATCCAGCCAAGACATAATGATGGTTCATCAAGAGCTGTCAGCTTACATTGCGTGTGCTGGGGATTTCAGGTGATGAAAGGCAGTCTGAAGACCATGGAGCCTTGAAAGGGTAAGAATTGGAGAGCTCCTACCTGAAGGTAATGATGATACAACAAATTTGTGAGCACCCCATAAGCTTGGAGGACTCCTGATTCACAATAAAACCTCCAGATTGAGCTCACACTCCAGATGGGGCTGGTTTCTGGAAGCAAAAAGCAGATTCCAGGCTCTTTGCTCCGAGCTGCCTCGTACAGAGTACCCTGGTTGTAGCCCTGGACAGCAAAAACATTTCCAGTCTCCACAGGCTCTTTGCTCCGAGCTGCCTCGTACAGAGTACCCT